GGGGTCTTGAGGAGGCCAATTAGCCTGTGCGATGAGGCGGTTACGGACCTTGGAGGGCAGAACACTTCTCATTAATTGGTTTAAATCCACCCATGTTGGCTCATAACAATTGATAACAGTTTCCAATTCCTCTCTAAAATTCTGGGGTTCTTCCCTGATATTGGGGAACTGCTTAACAAGGTTTAGGAGATCTCCTAGGATCCAGGGGGCATGGACTGTAACTGTAATTTCCCCATTTGGAACCTGCCCTGGGAGTTGGTGTAAAGGCATAAGATGAGTCTTTTTCATTTTTAAAGGTGGGACTGGACCATATTGGGTGCCAGACCTTAAATAAGAGGAAGTTGAGGCTTCAGGAGACAGATGCCATATCTCCAGTGGCCGCGGGCATGCCCCAGGGGCAGGTGATGGTTGTTGAGTGATGGTTTCCTGATGGGGTGGGCTGATTTCGCAGGAAGAATCTATTTGGTTATTTTGAACTTCTTCGGGTTCAGATTGTGCCTGGGACTGGTATGGGGGTGGCACACTAAAAAAATCAATTATGTCTTCTACAGATTTATTCTCAGTCAACTGTGGATAAAGTTGTGTTGGTGCTGATGATGCTGTTGATGGGGGATCCCCTATTGGTGCATTTTTCTGTTTTAATTCCTTTATCTACAATTTTAGTTTTTCTTGGGAGTCCTTAAGGCTCTGAACTTGAGATTCTTGACGTCTTTTGGAAGCTTCTGCTTACTGCCTCTTGACTCAAGGGCTCCTCGGAGACGAAAGATTTTACTTAAATCAAATGTTCCCTCCAGGGGAAACTGCAAGCTAGAATCATCTCTGGTATACCAATTCCATTTGTCTAGAAACTTACAACTTTTACGGCCATAGTGTGTGTACATGTACAATGCTGGAGTCCCTTTAGGCGGAGCCAGTACGTCTTTAGACCCTCCGTTCCCCATGTCTTTAAGCTCAACTCACACAGGTGTTTCACACAGGAGAGGCTTATTGAGGGTGTCTGGTCAGGTCGTGAGATTTGCTAGTGGCACAGGAATGCTGTGGTTAACATCCAAAGACAAGATTCACAGCACCAGTGCACAATGCAGTTACTCACTGTTAGACACGGCTCATTCATGAGAGTGGGGGTAGGGAAAATTCATCACACAACCCTGATCTCCTTCAGTCAAAGAGTTTCCACCTTGCACATTTGCTTACGAAGAGCACTCAGAACAAGTCTGGCGTCCTCAGGGCAGCTGCACAAGGTTTCCACTCCTAGCTTCAGAAAGACCTCACAGCAAAAACACTGTGTTTTGGGAACAGTTATCAGCTTCTGGTTCGAGGGAAAAGAGCAGGTGAACATCTGCACACAGAGCTTAATATATCAAGACAAAACAAGGCATGAAGGTTTTTTCTTATCTTAGAACATTTTGAAACACATAGCATCAGCATCTTTTTCTCTTCTCTTTCTCTCTCTTTCTCTCTCCTCTTAGTCAAGTAAGAGGCCTGGTTAAACTTCTTTCCACAGTACCATGCTGGCATAATGAAAAAAGGTGCTTTCCTAACTTTCCTCAATAAAGGGTTTCCTTTTTCCAGCCTGCTATGGCTGCAATGTGTGTTCTCTCTCTGTACATTTACTCATGTTTGATTTTTCCCAATATTTTCCCCTCCTGTTCCAAGGCCCCTTGGACAGAACATGGTGATTCAACCATCTTCAGTGAAACTCTCCTGCACAGTGAGAAATGGGAACAGCATCAGTGGCTACTCTGTACCCAGGTAACAGCAGAAACCAGGGAATCTCCCTCGGTACCTCCTGAATTACTCCACAGAGTCCAGCAAAGACCAGGACTCTGGGATCTCCACTCCCTTCTCTGCTTCCAAAGACACATCCAATAACACCAGCTGACCATCACTTAGGACCTTGCAGAGGACAAGGCAGATTATTGCTGTGCTACATGGCACAAGAGCACTTGTCAGTGGCAGCCACAGGGAAGTCAGACCAACCCCTCCTCTGCCCTCAAAGCCTGGAGGGAGCTGTGCCGACAGCAGGAACACATCACATGCAGGAACACGTCTGTGTGTGTGACTTCTCCCTCTGCAAGGGAATGACCTGTTACCTGTCACCCTCTCTCGGTAGAGCAGAGGCAGCTCTTCCCTCCTTTTCCTCCGCTTTCCCTCAATGCTCTCTCTCTGTCAGGTTTGGGGATGTGAGTGGTTCTTTGCCCTCCTCATCCTCTACTGCTTTCATGGGAAGAAGATAACATATCTCCCCTAGCTCCTGTCACACCTTCTGAAAAGACCTGTGTCCCACACACGAACCTCCCTCCTTCTGGATGGGGCACTCTGCAAAGCATGGATGAAGAGTGGGCAGCGGCCAGGACAGAGCCAAGGAGCAGGTGTATCAGGTCCAGTTGCTGCCTCTGGTGACATTGCCCCTGCTCCCTGGTTGCAGCTGCCTTTCACATGCCCAGGAGCAGAGGGCCCTGGAGAGGGGCTGGCTGCAGAAATCCCCATGTCCCTGTGTCCAGTCAGAGGCTAGGGGCCAGAGGATGTCAGGACAGCACCTTGCTTTGAAGCCCCAAGTGAAAACCATCCCCTGCCCATGGGAACAAACTCCATGCACTGAGTGTCTGAGTCCTTCGAGGCACTAACTCTTTGGGATGAGCTTGACTTTGAGATGAATATACGGGTGGTGGGGTGTTGTCTCTGCCATCCTCATTCTCCACTTCATCCATGGGGACAAGGGGGCATAACTTCCCTGGGGCTCCCTTCTCACCTTAAGAGAAGACCTGTGTGCCCCACACCAACCTCCCTCCTTCTGGATGGGCCCTCTGCCCGGCCTGGCTGAGGAGTGGGCAGCGCCCAGGACAGAGTGACCAAGGGCGTCCTCTCCTTATACAGTGGGTCTTTATGCAGTGAGATCCTTTCTTGCAGACTGATCCCTGCATGCACGTGGCTCCTCCCTTGTGCCCACAGGGGCCAATCAAATAGGAGCACATTAGCAACAATGCCCCACTTCATTGCTCCCCTCCCCTCCCCTCCACTTTCCCACACTGACTATATAAGAGGCAGGAATGGGAAGGCATTTTCAGTGGGTTTGTCCCTCTCTCTCTTGCAAGGGTTGGTGATCTCCTTGCCATGCTGTGGGCTCCCCTCCTTGTCCTGCTGGGGACGTGGTGCACAGGTGAGAGTAGGGAAAGGGGATAATTACACAGAGAAGTGGCTGCTGAAGCCAGTTCCCCAAACACAGGACCAGCAGGAGGGGAGCCCTGGGCGGATGTGACAGGGATCTGCATGTTGTTTTCCAGGTGCCAGATCACAGTCTGTGCTCACTCAGCCGCCCGCAGAGTCAGTGTCCCCAGGAAACACTGTGAAACTCTCCTGCGCCATGAGCAGTGGGAACAGCATCAGTGTCTACTATGTGAATTGGTACCAGCAGAAACCTGGGACCCCCCCTCGGCAGCTGCTGTATTACAAGTCGGATTCTGACAAGTACCAGGGCTCCGGGGTCCCCGCTCGCTTCTCTGCTTCCAAAGACACGTCCAGTAACACTGGCTACCTGACCATCGCCGGGGTCCTCGCAGAGGACGAGGCTGACTATTACTGTGCTGTGTGGCAAAATAATGCTTGTCACAGTGACACAGCCACAGGGGAAGTGAGACAAAAACCTCCTCTGCCCTCCCTCAGCCAGGGCTCTAAGGAAGCCAGCAAGGAGCCGTACCAAGGGCAGCAAGTGCCTGTGGAAACACGCCATGAAGTCTTACAGGGCCCTCATGCTCATTATATCTGATACTATACGCTGACACTCCAGCATCCCTGACCGAGTCTTGGGTTTCAACTCCAGTAACACAGCTACGCTGCCCATTGCTGGACTCCAAGCCCAGGATGAGGCATTTCATTACTACCAGATGTGGGACAGCAGAACTTTCCACAGTGGCACTGTGCAATGGGGACGTGGGACCCAAACCTTCTCCTGTCATACCCGATCCTTACAATTTATTTTTACAGTGGCCTGAGAGCCAGGCCGCCATCCACTCTAATATACTAAGAGACTAGTCTTTGGTTAGTAGATACTGGAGAGCTCCCCTCTAGTCATTCAAAATATATCACCCAGACATTTCACTATTGATCTTCCATGAAACCAACTGTGCCTTTCACTGGCAAATGCTTCTCATAGTGCCTCTGACCGGCTGCTTCCCATATGGTCACCAGAGGCAGCAGAAATGTCCCCAGCCCAGAGTTCAGAGTCCTCCCACCTTTTCCCTTCCAGTCTTAGCAGTGTCTAGGTTGCAAAGCTCACTCAGTGCAAACGCCATACTCCATAGTACAGCTCAGCTGTGCGATTGTCCTTTATGTTTCGATAACCTACAAACCTTGTTCACTCTGCTTAGCTTCTCCTCTGCACTATACTCAGTGTCATCAATATATTTAATAGTTCTGCATTATTTCCCCTCAGTCTGAATCACCTTGAATGCTCTGTGGGTTAGAGCTCAAGATGAGGAGTCCAATATAATCTGCTCAGCACCAGACCCTTGCTTCCCCAGCACAGCGTGCATTAAGGCAGGATGCAAACTGCCCCCAGCCCGGCTACCTCAGAAATACGTGGTTTCATGCCAGGGTCACTCACAGAGCCAGATTAGAGCAGCAGATCCAGCAGAGATCTGGGGTCCTGCAGAACAGGCACAGAACAACACCCCCAGTCGCAATCCTCCGGGCAGACCTGCATGAAAACACCTGGGTACAGAACGGTTTCTCAGCTTGCTCTTGCTCCAGCTGCCATCTGCAGGGAACGCAAGGGGTGCGTGCACTCAGAGCATGGTGCACAGGGCATGAATGCACTCAAAACTGCACGTGTCACAGCGGCTTCCCTTCCCTGACCACTTTGTGCCAAGCACCCAGGCTGGGCCGTGCTGCCCTAGAGCCCGGACCCTTAGTGCTCGGCAGCCCTTGCACGTGCAGAAGCAGCAGGATTCACTGAAATGGGCAGTTAGCACTCTGCTTAACCCTGTGAGTGCCCTTGCTCTTTTTATCTCTGTGGAGCCGTCACACCTCAGTTCATCGCACGTTACGCAGTACGATGTAGAGATGCTCCTTGCTGGAAAAGGCGGATCTGTTCTATGATGTGATGTGACCACTCCTAGCATGGATCATCCTGCTTGACCATGTGGATGTTCACAGTCTAAAGGTGATTAATGCATGCTGAGTGTGCAGGCGTCGTAGCCCTTTGGAAATCAGGCTTCAGTTATAATAACAATGCCAAGTCCTTTCAGCAGGTGGAGGCAGGGCCTGAATAAGGGGAAGACAAACTAGGCATATGCCTAGGGCCCTGAGCTCCTGGGGGTCTGGTCCTTCCCTCTGTGCAGGCTCTGTCGCAAATGGCCCTGTCCACCTCCTTTCCCTTCCCTTCCCTTCCCCTCTGCCAGCTGCTTCCTAGCATCAGCTCCATGCCCCGCACCCTATGGGTGGCAGCACCACTTTGGGGAGGGGTCTCGTCCAGCCGGGAGCCCACAAGTTGTTTGCCTAGGACCCACTAAAGTGTCAAACCGGCCCTGGGTGGGAGCGGGCCCCACCGCAGACTGTACGGGGCTGTGACAGGCTGCGGTGTTGGGGAAAGGGAAGGTGAGCATTGTTGTCTGTCTCGGACAGACCAGCCAGGCTGGCACGACGTTAGCTCCTACTGACAGAGCCATTTCCTGTCTTGCGCAGCCAGAGCTGCCCTGATGCCTGGGCAGAGCAAAGAGGATATTGTGCCATGTGTGGGCTGCAGGGACTCAGCTATAACATCCCTGCAACCCCCACATCTGACTTGTTCTGTACCGGAATAATCTCACCTGCACAATACACTGAACCATTGCACAGGAGCATGTCACCTCAAAGCACCAAGCGGATGAGTGTTCCCCGCACTCCTGGGAGGTGGAGAAGGAAGAGGCACTGCTCCTCGCTGCTCACATGGGAACCTAAGAGGGGATCAACCAGCGCTAGGTCTGCGGTAAATGTTCCCAGCTCAAGGCCAGTCCCCAGTTCCTTGGAGAAATCCCCACCCAGCCCAGAGCTGGCTGGGAGCTGCGCCAGAAGTGAGACAGTGCCTGGCCAGCCCTGTGCTCCCTGCCAGCCCCCACACTAATATCCCAAGGGAGTCTGGGTCTACCCCTGGCTGCTGCACGAGACAAGAACAGGGAGTGCATGTAGATGTGCTCCTAGGGAATGCTTACTGCATAGTAAACTACTGTGCAGGCAGCCTTTTTGCATTCATAGCCCATGGAGACATGCCCAGCAAGAAGCTCATTCTGGAGGTAGGGAATGGGGGAGGAGGGGGGGCATTGCTGGTATCACACGGAGATATTGCAGTGCAGCTGCCTCCTGGGAGGGGTGGTTTGCTCATCTCAGATTTTACTAATCCTTGTCCAGGCCAGTGCAAGAGCCTGTGTCACCCCAACTAGTACTGTGGGGGATGTAGGATGTGACTTAGGGAGCCCAGCAATGCAAAGCAGCACAGCGACAGGGTTACTGGCAGCAGCTGTTCACTGCTGATGCCAACAACTGTTTGGGACAGTCAGGAGCAACCAGAGCTGCACAAATCTCAGCCCTGGTGTAGACACGGTCAAATTTCCAAATGGCTGAACAGGTTTGAAAAGCAGGTTTTGATTGTAATACCCCTTTTTCCCACTGGAGGGGCCTTTTGACTGCACTTAGCTGCTGAGACACTTGCTACCTACCCTCCAGCCAGCTCCAGCTCCCACCACAGCCCCGGGTAGTCGGCTACCAGCGATGGAGTTTCCTTGTGGGCAACAAGAGTTGGGGTTAAGCTCTGCCAAGGAAAACAGCTGGGTCTGAGCTCCAATAGGATGTGGTGTGTGTGGCAGGCCAGTAGGGGGCGCTCCT